AAGTGTTTTCCAAAGAAGTGGGAAATTCGAACCAGTTATCCTATTTGACGTTGTCGGCTCAACTGTCTTTAGAAGAACCCTGTAACGACTGCATTCACGCAGTTCCAAACCGAGCGCGTTCTACCGTTGGGAAAAGAAAAAATAAAAAAAATACGACCTCGCCCCATGAGTTCTCCTTCTGCCGTCCGTCCTCCCCATTCTAGCGTAACAGAAATCAACTATCGAAAAACGTTTTTCAGGCCTAACACGACTACGCTCTCCCCAGCGACCAAATACCCCCCCTCTCTGCGAAGACCTGCCCTGAGGAGCGGGGTGGGGAGGGTATAGTGCACATGAAAAAAAACGGAGTAAATTCAACTACCGTGAACATTTCTCTCGGTCTTTTTCCCCAACTATCGAATGCGACCCCTCGCTGGGGGCATGCTCTTTGAACAGGTGGACAAAGGTAAAGCTAAGGCGCGGAAAATGTAATCTCTCCACCAGAAGGATGGAGAATAAGGTGTCATCGCTGAGAGCCATCGAACACACGACCTTCTTCGAAAGGGGTGCCATGCCATTGTTGATGAGGGGGAGGGTCAGTGCAGCGCACCAGCATAAGCTGCGGTTGAACTTCAAGAGGAGAAGTGAAACACAGAGGGAGGAGTGAGTAGACACTATATTGTCAGAGCAAGTATAATACTGAAGGGACGCTGCTACAGTGTGGAATGCCAAGCAGGAAGGGAGGGGTCGTATTCGACCCGACAAATTTATTTCTTAATTCTCTCTGTTGTGCCAATCGTGTCGTACGTACCGTATACCGGTCCATAGCGTCGGGAGGATTCCATTGTCCATTTGGGAAGAGAGCTCATATTAACTCGTCGTCTTGGAAGAGAGGATCTTATTTACCTTCCCGTTTGACATGTGCAGCAAGATACCCCTCCCCTCCTCGCCCAATCCCCCACCCCTGGCCCCAGGAACCTAGGAATTCAGGAGGTAGCGTTGGAAGGGTGGGTCATATTTTGCGAAAACTTTCCCCGCGACAGGAATGCCCTGATCACCTAGGCGAACAAATGATCGGCTTAATTTCTCAAATCAGATATAATAATAACTATCACACCCACCCATGGTGCAATATTTTGATGCGAAAATCCATTTTCCGACAGCGGAGGTTGATTATAAGGCCAGAGAAACCAGATATCGTGAGGATTTCAGTAGCGCTCTATCATTCAAAGAATCTAGCTTTTTCGAAATTCAGTCGAAAAATCGTTTTACTATTTTTCTTCCGTTGCGGTTGCCGTGCAAATTCTATAAAGCCCATGAGTCATGTAAGAAATTTTTGGCGATGAAATATTGCTATAGCGAATTGAGGACGTTTTCACGTATCCATGGGGAAACTCTTTGGATGAATTCAAAAAGAGCAATGAAAAATTGAATGCAATGATACGAAGCGCTTCGAGAAAATGGAAACATAAAAGCAGTAGGGAGCAAAACAATATTCAAGTGAGAAATAAAAGGTAGTACGAACTCAGGCCATCCTTCGAAGGTCGACACGACGAACAGTGACACCATCGCATCGCCGACGTTGTCGAAATTGAAATCATTGTTCGACCAGACGCGTTTTTTCGATACAGGCTTCGTCGGATCGCCGTCTTCGTAGTGGATGTATTCACCTCTGAAACACAATCGATGGATGAATAGGAAAGGCAAAGGAGGTACTTCAAGCTGTAATGGTGTACCTACCTGCACTCAGCTTCAGTCATTTTTGAAAGATCATTGCAGGAGAAGAACGTTCCCTTGAACAGCTGCACGCCAATAATCGCAAACATGAACTGAAATGGTAAAGATGAGACCAATTAAGATCAGGTTATGCTGCGCTTTGAACTTTGTCCTCAATCAAAGCACAGAATACTACAGCGACAGACGGGTGCAGTCTCCGCCCATGCGATCAACGTGGAACGGGCATTCAGTATAGTTCAGTAGTGTTTACACTCAGGCTTTTCCACCTTGTAGGTGAGATCACAGCTCAGTTGGCGACAATGATCAGTTAGGGATCAACACATGGCGGTGGGCTTGATCTTTCCAGTGAGTTGAGGTGCAAGGATCATAAGCCCAAATGAATCCACACTACATTATAATACACTCCGTATCCCTGTGACGGAGGCGTAGCATTCGAACATGGCATGGAATGGATTACTCGTGGGATATTTCAGTTTGAGACAACTGTCATCTTGTTCTGTGTTGGACAGAGACACGACCACAATTGTGTCAAAATGAAAATGCCTCCCCGAAAGTGCAGCCACCGCCACGTTTGGCTAAACTACGCTGCCACTGCCTACCACATTTGAGGATTTCAAGTGTACGTTCATGTACTTGCTTAATTTAAGGGCGCATCCACGCTGACCACGTGGGCGGAGACCGCTAACCCTAATCCTTCGTAAACAGCGCACTCCTCCCTTTGAAAAATGCAAAGTTGTTGACTGTCTGCGCCCCTGTCACGACCAGCGTGTACTCCGTCTTTGAAATGGTGATTGACAAGGTTGCGGAATGTATTTCGAACACATCATACGTTGGAACTACCAGCGAGGCGGGTCGCATTTGGTCGCTGGAGGGAGGAAGAGGTCCCTTTATAGAAAATGTTTCCGATTGTTGAGCTATTGGTTTTTCCTTTCCGAGTGCGCTCTATCCCCCTTTCCCGTGGTCACCGCTAGGCGAATTTCAGTTTTCACCCATTTCCAGGAATTAATTAAGTTTTTCTTTGAACTGGAATTCCTGGAAGTGTGGTGGGAAGTTACGAAAACTGAGGAAGGTGATCGTAGTAGAATTAGGGGTGGGACAGGAGGAATCGTAATGTAGGAGAGACATTTGAGGGAAGGGGCCGTATTCCGCAATTTTCCTTTAACGGCAAGCCCTGATCACAAACATGAAGTCGAAAAGGGAAATAACAAATAAAAAACTGAGCTCTGACAAAGGATTCCCGAAGCCTTTGGCCCTTCAGAAACCGCTGGGAGGGGCCGTTTCCGAATATGCAGGAAATTATCGATAACATTCGAGGAGGAAGCGTAAACTTATAGCTGGCAATGTCGGTGCCAGGAGGGGCGAAATGACCCCACCTCCTGCTGAATTGCTTACCCAACGGTGATCGAAGTGATTGATTTTGGGAAAGGACAAGCAGTTGCAAGAAGCACCCCAGTGGGTTCATTCCAAAACCCTGGAACAGCCTTGAGTAATCGCGACGATATCTCCTTCAAGGTCTCCAAGGTACTTGTTAAAGACATCAATTTAGTGTAAACGAACGATAATTACGTGGATACCGGTGTACTTACTTGTAACATAAATGTGACCAGCATAATATTTCCGATGGTTTTCACGGCCACGATCACACATTGCACAACGTGGTTTGAGACCTTTGGCTCGATTGATGGCACGAAGAGGTCGAAGCACACGCAACACACTGAATAGCAGAGCTCAAATGAATTGGTTCATAGTCACGACACTACTCACAAAAATCATCGAGTAATGAAGTGAAAAAGGTGAGTTTGAAGTCGAGTTCACAAAGCAATTTTTAGCAGGGGGCAGTTCGGCGACGGGGGCATTTCGGACTTTTGCTTTCCATCAACCTGTCGACCCATCTAGAGAGCCTTTTCTTGAGTTGACAGGTTTTACCATGGTGGCTCGACGAGCTTGCTCCAGCTTCACAAGAGTTCACAGGTTTCACCAGAGTGAGACTTGTAAACCAGAACTACTGAAGCAGCGAAGTGCAAAATGCCTCAGCCCCCCCCCCCCCCCCCGTCGCCGAACTGACCCCTTTTCAAGTCATTAGTTCCTTATAAAAGCATCTCAAGTCTCGTGGGCATTATACTGCACGCGACAGCATTGAGTTCTCGTGTGCAGTATCATGCCCACGCACTTTACATGGTACCTGCTTTCAAGCGTCGAAAAGCTCTGTGGGCGGTCTCAAAGATTTTAGTGCGGTGCAGTATTTTTTGCGAAGTTGAACGCCTAAGGGACTCCTAAGTCAATTGGACTACTCTTACTACTACCCTTACTCTCTGAGCAATCTCTCTTAGAGGCAATTACAAACAAAGCGCTAAACCATAAACAGAAACCGGGGAACCGTGAGGCGCTCATAGAGGTGGCCTGTCAGATCGAATCATTTTTTTGACACGGCAACCACTCAGGGGAAATCGAATGGCGAAAGTCTCCGAATTCGTGAAACCCTCCTAGTCGGTTCTACTAGTCTTGATCTTTGTTTTGTTTCGACTGTGCGGAGCACTGAGAAAGTTTGCTCTATTTTTTGAGACTTTGAATGGAACCTAATTTTTCTACATTTTTTTCTCGAGCTATTTTGACTACCTCCCAGCCTACTCCTTGTATCACTAGTACTTCCTACACTCTGGAGAATTTCATAGCTGGTTGTTGACTCGACAACACGTACATAGCAATGCCACGTTCAGTGGAATGGGTCCCGCAGCGAAAGACCCGGCGTGCGACACCTCCTTTGCCGCGCTTGTCGCCCTTAATAACCATGAGATCTCTCCACACAGAAGGATGATTTTCCCCCAGAACGTGTTCCCAGTTCTGATAGGAATACATTGAGTCACTGATCGTTTTTGTTATGTACCTGATGAATATTTGGTGAATGAATTTCATTGTCTATGCTGTTTATTTTACAAATTAAAGGTAAGAACAGTTTGCAACAGTCAGCTTACCGAAGGATCTTGACTACGGAGATGGCATCTGATTTCAGGACAAATGATACCAAAGAGACGGCAACGACCAAGATATCGAGCAGATTGAAGGCATTACGGCAGAAAGAACCTTTATGAAACACGAGTCCGAACACGACTACCTGAAAAAGGGATGATATTATTCTCTACTTCAAGTAATGGAGTGAGTAGAAAGGGAACACAGATCTCCCAGGGCCTAATCATGCAGGGCACTTCCTGCTACTGGGGGGGGGGGTGGGGGAAATACGACCCCCCCTCCCACAATTTCTTCCTCCGGTACGATTCCCTTTCCGCAATCCTTTATACCGCCTTACTGACTTTTCTGTAGTTCTTACCACTTTTCTCAGTTTTCCAGGGAATCATCCTGTTTTCCCAAAAAATCGCTTGTGGGGGGGGGGGGATTCGCTGTCGACAGCGCGCTTGAAACAGGGAAAATTAACAATCAAAAAACTTTGACGCGATCCGCCCTACCCCCGGTCGGCCAAATACGACCCCTCGCTTGGAGTTCACAATGTACGAAGTGCACTCTGCGAGGAGAGAACAAATCTAGCGTTTTTCACCTGTTCTTTGAAACCCTGCGTAGCAAAACCACTTGTCAACGTACCTTTAATGTGATCTCGATCGTGAACACAGTTGTGAAGAAGTAGTCGAAGTAGTTCAAAATCTGAAGAAGAAGCAAAGTGCAAAAAAGGTGGAAAAGGGAGAAAGCCTTAATAGCCTCAAATCTTGATCGCCATTCATTCAGAGACCTCTTTGCGAAATTTTGGCCAGATTTCCTGGAAGTTTCCCACTGAAAGAGTTTGAATCCCTGAGAGGGAACGTTGTACCCTTTTTAGCCTAAACCTCAAAAAAAAGAGGTCGTAATGGGTGAGCGGAACCAACACTCTATAGAGATATAAAATAAAAATACCGTGTTTCGTCGGGAGTTTGCCTCAAGAGGATCCTCAGCAGCTAACATAGCGGATGAGACAAGAATGCATACCAGAACGCTATTGGTGAAATAGGTATGGTTGACGATCTTATTACAGAAAACTCTGAAAAGCAGTAGTTACTGAAATATTTCTTGGCATAAGCAGACGGATTCCTCGATTTTTCATTACTTACCTGAAAGGATTGGTATGGCTAAGGATGAACAACGACGAGGCTTTAGGAATCGGTTTGTGAGGTGCAACCTGTGGCAGTTCACTCATTCGTCGAGGTCGAGCTGTTACCAGCTCCTCACCAGGTTCCTGCTCTTCCATGTCAAGCCTTAAAATATGATCGATGTTTTCAATTACTCTCTGAACTTCTGGATTTCTTGAGACAGTCTCGCTCTTTCTGTACAAACTTATGACCCCTCCCCACTGCTGCTTTACTTAAAATTTTGGACTACTACTGTAACCGCAGTCATGATCGGTGGCTCTGAAAAGCGAAGGGAACAAAATTTAAAGTTTAATTTAAAGACCTGAGAACATCAAGAATGCGAAAAACGCTGAAACTAAGAGAGCTAGTTCAGAAAACGTGCCAGACTCACCTCTCATCACCTTCACCGAATCCTTCACCCTCTTCATCGTATTCTTCTTCACCATCCAGTTCTGTAAAGAAGAACCATAAGAAATTTGTTCCATTACATTTGGATCTGTCTTGTTTCTCAATTATGTAACATGAAGGATGAGGGATAAAGTCTTCGCCGTTGATCAATCCTTTCTGGGATGCGGCACGCATTCTACTTCCATTCAGAATCGTAGTGGCTTATTGAATGCGATGTGGCCTATACAATGACTTGCGGGGGCCAGCCGATGTACAAGTCAGTGTTTTATCTCCCGGAGGAATCTGGTACTAAATGCGTCACTCGAATGGTAGAAGTATTGGTTGCCTGGCGGCGAGTCGACCCGGGATTCGAACCAGGGAACGCGGAGTGTCAGCGCGTACTCGTCAGCTAACACCACTCCGCTTCAGTTATGTAACATGTCTAATTTATCCTTACATGGTCCACTTTCAAATTTCTGGACGGTTTTTGAATTTTCAGCTTTTAGGATAAGTTCGTAGTAACCAGGGGGTAGCGAAAGAGCTCGGAACTACAGGAGTATCCCAGCACTCGATTGGCGTGAAAATTCCTAGCGCAACGGAGCTTCAGCCTAAATACCTCGATCACTGAACTTTCTTGAGAGTTGCCCTCAAGTGGCTCAACGCTATGAACACTCTGGATACGAGTACCACCTTCACTCACCATCAGAGCGAGAGCGCCTGGTACAAGCGAACGAACACGGCGCCAAACAGGATCTCTTGCGCTGAGGCCCATGAGGTGGGCGGCAGACATTTTTGCGCTGCTCGGGACGTGATATCCAAGTTCATATTCAGGTTCAGGTGGAGGGAGCCCAACTGTTCTAAGGATAGATGTTTCGCCATATCTTTTCCCCCTCCTCCTACCGGAGAAAATCATAATTAATGTCTAATCTGCAGTTTGAACAGAGGGCAGCGAACGATCAGTAGTGCCGTCCAACGTTTTTTGTCAAGGAAAAAGAAACTCTTACCTTGTTGCTCTTCTTCTTTTTCAGCGTTCGTTAAACTGTCCGCATCAGCCAGATTATCGACGGCGATAGCCAAGAAGACATTTAGGAGGATATAGTTACCTTAAACACCGAAAAATATCGATTCCCCTTTGCTGACAGTTCAATAAAAATCGATCGATAACTTACCGCAAATAAACAACACGATGTAGTATATTGAAACAATGACTCCTAAGGTGCCTACTCCACCGAACGATTCGATACCATTGTACATTACCGTATTCCAGTCCTCACCGGTAAGGATCTTAACAGTTGCATGATGAGTATGAACTCACAATTTCGTTGAAATTTGTGGCAAAAAAGGTGCTTAGATGTTACCTGGAATACTGTAAGTAGAGCCTGAATGAATGTGTCGAAATTGGCTCGAGGCTTTGGCTGTTGTGGATTGAAGTTGAACTTTCCACCGAATACCTTCAATGGGTGAAAGGGTGAGGGAGTGTATAGAAACCAAAGTTCTTTTCTTGATATTTCCGACGAAGTGGCTTAGGGCTGCGTTCATGAAGCTTTTCAAGACCCAGCTCGTCTTGAGAAGGCAAGAGTTCACTTCTGGCATAGACCCCGGGCACCCCACTGAAAATTAGTGACATTTTTGTACAAAATTTGGTCCGTACAAGAACTGGAGATATGCTTGAAAACAAGCCAGTGCTTTCATCCAAAGCAGATGAGTGGTGCCAACTAAGCGACTCCGAAGGGAATGGGTGGGTGGTCTAGCTGGGCGTACAACCAATGGCGATCTTGCAACTGCACCATTTCTGCTTCATTGAAAAAGGACGTAAGAAGGACGTTCCTCAAAAACAGACCATGTCCTGGCGTTGGGAAGAATTTTTGTCTGATACAGTCCTGCCCTCTCCCTCATATCTTCTCATTCGGCACGACCTCTTTCACAGCAGACTGATTACCTTACTGAACTTTCCGAAAAATCTGCCGTCGAGTTCTAGGAAGGGTTATCAGTTACCTCTGATCAATAATAGGTACATAATACTGTTCTTGCGGCTTCGCCAACAGAAGGAACGGCAGGAGGGGGTGGAGGGGGGGGGATGTATAACCTGAGGAACGGAGAATCGACAATCAGAAAACATTAAGCAGCCATATTATAACTCCGTTGGGGTTCCCCACCGAAGGCGTGCCCTGCTCCTGAACCTTCCCACCGAAGGCCCTGTTGATCGTGAGGAAACCGACTCAACAAAACCTCCACTGGGAATTCCTCTTTTTTCCAGGGCACTCAAACTTTGTGGGAAAAGGCAGTACCATAAAATAGCCCCCTCGGTGGCAGTCACATTCCACATACCCATCTTTTGTTGTAGCGCTCTCCGAGGGGTATTTAAAATCTTCGTATTTTCAGTCCTTATATAACAATCGATATAATCCTATGGTGAACTAGAAATTCTGGAAACCGAATTCTTTGAAATATCATGTGTTTAGGAACAATCCGAAACTTCTGGTTATGCTGACGTTCCCCTTGGAAGTTGTCGCCATTACCAAAGGATGCCCCCAAAAGGGCTTTCTCTTGAGCCAGGAATACAAATCGCCCAGTGCTGTTCTATAATCCTCCGTATTAGAAATTCAGCCTGCAGAGGCATACCCCTTGAGGAATTTCCCCGCTGCATCGACTTCTACCAGGTACAAACTGCGGTTTCACAACTACATATGGCCGGCAGGAATGAGTGTGATGCAGTGATAAACTCCATTAATCATTCCTACATCATCATCAAAGCATAGAAAACAGGGGTCGTCATCTAGGAGGTCTGTGGAACAGTGTGCAGGGGCGCATTTCGTCGGCAGGGAGGGGGATTTGCACTTCGAGCCATCTAGAGAGCTCTTTCATGAGCAAGACAAGAGTTGACGGGTTTTACCATGGTGGCTAGACGAGCTTGCTCCAGCTTCACAAGAGTTCACAGGTTTCACCAGAGCGGAACTTGTGAACCGGAACTAGTAAAGCAGTGAAGGTACAAAATGCCCCCTCCCGTCGCCGAACAGCGCCCCGTACAGGTCACAGCAATAAGGAAACTTGATCGTTCAGTAAACCCGCGGGGATGGGTGGTGGTATACCTTCTCCTTGGTACACCCTATACGGTAAAAACCTCTGTTCTTTTCAGAATGCACACACTCATAAAGTCAGAACAAAGTCCTCTTATAAGCCCAAATACCACCCCATTTGCTATGGCTACCAAGGAAGTCCCACATCGTTGAGCATTCCTCCCTCTTACTACGAGCCTAGTAGACAAAATTGCAACACAGAAAGGCATGGTGTCAATGGAGTTCCCTAGAGAACTGACCTGCATCCCAAGAAGAGCAAAGATGACGATGAACAAGAAGAGCAGCAACAACAACGACATAATGGAGCGCAACGAGTTTAACAACGATGAGACGAGGTTTCGCAATGAAGTCCAGTACCTTCAATTCGAAATGGAATTCAGTAGGTCCAAAATTGATATTCTTAATCAAACGAAATCAAGAGACTCACTTTGTGACTTTGAAAATTCTCAGAAGCCTAGCCGAACGGAGCACAGACACTCCGAGCGGTTTCATCAGTCGTAAGTACAGCAACACGAATTCGATGATGGAACTGAAATTTTATCTATTATTACGTACTAGTTAATTCAAAGCATGATGTTTATTCTGAACTACTTTCATATGACAAGGTGTCCGGAAGGTTTTCAACCGGGGAATGATGTGAGGCAAAACATTTATCAAGAGCTAAAAAGAAAAGAAAGAGAAACGACCGCAGCTCATGTACGGCATAGGGATTTGCGTTCATTCTTTGCGGAACCGTTCGCCAGCGTCTAGTAGCAACCACTAGCGTTCACCAGCGACCGGGAGTAGAGAGCATGGGGAAGTGGGAGGGTGTCAAAGAGCTGGATTAGGCGTCGTGAAATTGCGGCGTGTGCAACAACACCGTACAGCTATACTGTACCTTACACTAAAATGAATAATTCTGTGCTTCAGCAGTTGTGCAGTCGTTGGTGAACGCTGGTGCACACGTTGGCACACTCTAGATCGATATCTGTCTTTTGTAGTTGCTGGCGCTGCCGGACGCTTGGAACGCTAGTGACCGCTGGTGGACGCTGGTAGGACGCTGGTGGACGCTGCCGCACAGTATGAAACAAGCCCGTTGGCATGAGCCAACATTTTAGAATGCACCGCAAGCCATGACTCCCAACTCCTTGCTCCCGACTCCTTGCTTTTTCTTCACCTTTCTGGCTGCTCTAACGGTGAAATCAGGAATGAACTGTGCTAGACAAAGCACCCTCCAAACTCACCTAAAGCAGGAGTTCAATCGCTTTTCGATTCGGCGGACTTGTGTGTGAACTTGTGTAAAATGAAACAGGAAACACCATCGAGATGTGGGGAAATTACGTTATGCCGCTCCCACTCCTTGACAGTACGGTCCCCTCCCAAGTTTTCTCCTTTCGGTACCATCGCCTTTCTTAACGTACCAACCATCTTACGAAAATTTCACAAAATTTTGCCCGCGGTAAGGGGGGTGCGGGCAGCGGAGGAGGGTATCATGCACAGTGCCGTCATAAACAGGAGAAATCAGACAGCTGGAAACTCCAGCGCCGACACAAGCTTTCCCTCCCCCCCTCCTGAATTCATTAGGCAACGGTGATGTACACCGAGCGACAATCGCAGAGGTAATATTTTGATTTGGAATATAGTTCATTATTTCGTGAGGTAGTAAAATTTTCTCAATATTTCTAAGGATCTAATATAGGTATATCGTTTTTCCGTATTTTTTCGATAATCGTGAGGTAACTGCAGTCGATAATGCTGCAATAAATCGGGACCAACCAGGGGCGCTTTCTACCATTAGCTGTTTCTTCCTGAATCGTTCACTAACAGATCACCAGTAGTCAAAAAGACACAGAGGGTAAGCTCATTACACTCGGCAACCACTGAATGACTACGTGAAAAAATCAAAAGAGAACTGAACGGCTCCGGGAAGTTCTCTAGACTATTATATATTTCATTTTCGTCTAAGCTGACTCCAGAATACCTGAGATGAAACCAGAAAAAGTTAGTAGATATCCCAGTCAAAATATATGAAATTCTTGGTATCTACGTTATAGAGACTGATACTACAAGCACTTGAGGTAGGCATTTCATAAATATATGATATAGAAATAAATAAATATTGTCAAAATGAAGTAAATAATAAATATTCTCAAAATGCACCTGATGACAACGAAACAGTCAAATCGATTGAACTGCGATGTCGTGTAGGTAGTGAATCCGAGTGAGTACATCTTTAGAAGCATTTCCAAAGAGAACAAAATCACAAAGAACAGATTCGCCATCGCTGAAAACGGACAGGAATTCCCTATTCACAAAATTAACAGCAATATTCTACAATAATAAGCAGCACTTCTAACAGAACGGAATGTTGCTTGCAAGAATGTCTTAATAGTAATTTCAGACTGTTAATCTCCGATATTGACGATCTCAGTATAATACAGTCGTCGTCCGGGCAGTTGATTAGGCAGTCAAAGGATCGCAGACGCGGCTGCGGCGCGTCACGACGATCAGCTGTTTCCAGGCCTATTTAGCCATTTCTCCCTAATCTTCACGGCATTATTTATTTCCTTCCCTGGTAAATTGTTTTTTGACTTTATGAAGTATATAAGAACGAGGACTCTTTTTTTGTTTTGTAATGAAGTGTTTTTGCGATTTTTTAGGTATTTGTCTAACTGTTTAATTATTTGATTATTCGCAAAATAGAGAAATCTCAATTTACCTTGTGAAGACAAGGAACAACTAACCTTGAGAAAAGTAAATTGAAAAATTTGAAAACAGTGAAAATTAGGGAGAAAATGGCTAAATAGGCTGGAAAGAGCTGATCGCCGCGGTCGTGATGCGCCGCTCTGCGACCCTTTGACCGCCTAATCAACTGCCCGAATGACGACTGCCAAAGTTCATCTTATTTCAAGGAAAAATCGTATGTCATTCAAAAGTGACTTACTCTGGAAATCGTCGAGCCACTCGCTTTGACCGTAGTGTTCTGAGGTGAGCACAAGTGTATTGAGCAACACAAGCAGAATGACAAGCCAATAGAAGGTCTGACTTTTAACCAGACGACGACACGCTCGACGACATCGTCGGTTCGTTTTTTCGAATCTTCAAATAAAAATACCTTTCGGCAGAAAAACCGTCCCTCAATAGAAGAGGAAAAGAATATGGAATCATCTGTTCCGACTCACCGTTTCATTCGACTTCGCCATTTCGACGGTCGCGTTTCCTCGGTTCGGTCTTCGCCTTCTTCATCAACTTCTTCACCGGTCGCTGAATAAGAGACTTTCAGACACCCACTTATTTCAATGGTTTTCAAAGAGAAACAGATGGCCTGTCAGGAGCTAGTGGCAAGGGTCTGATTAAGAACAAGGTGACCCATCAATCTCGCTTGTAATGCGCCATGCTTGTGACTTCGCTCAGAAACCTACAGTGTGCACACTCATTTCTGCGAGCGTATCAGAAAGCGCGACGGAGTCCAGACGGAAGAGAGGCAGAGATATACGTGTCAGGAAGGATAGCCGACACTGGAATATACAGTAGATGACACCCCTTTTTGCCCTTGAGAGCGGTTTATATATGCAGTTGAAGGCGCATGAGGTCTGTTTAAAAAATTCGCAGTGCAGTGATGTCCTCGTCAATCAGTCATCACCCAGTGTTCTCCTTTGCCTTTTCACCTGGTAGACATGTAATTTGTGGCTAAGAAGCTGGAGCTGTAAAGATGGAAGCTGACTCACAGATCAGGCAAGTAGGCGCTCCGCCATCTGCCACGACATCATGATGACTCCTCAGCTAAGACTTCATTTTTTCTCTTCTCATCTGCTTCAATGGAGCTCCCTAGGTCCTCAGCACTACTCTGGCTTGCCCGTACCTTCTCATACTACGATAGGTGCACTGTAGCGTCTTGGAGAAGGAATAGCGGAACGGAGATCTCCATGCACTTGCCGACCCTTGCCAGTAAAAAACTTTAGCAGGAAAATGATGCTTGTTTTATTCACGTCCTTTTCTGACGCAGGAAGTGTTTTGCATCTGCATCCGGTTACAGACGGGTACAATGATTTGCGGGGTTATGTCGATGTACAAAGGTGATCCATGCGAATGACTGGGCGTGCAATGCGGTGCAGTTGGGAGTGCAGTCAGGGCGGCCTTCTTTTCAACAATAATGTCACCTCGAGTCCGCTACAACTGGTGAGAAATCTGCCCTAGCTGCGCTCCAAGCTTCTACGCCATATCGTTTCAGAGATAGCGACTACACAAGGGTTTTCTTTTGCTCTTTCTGGTATCAGATAGCTTGACCACAGAAAGGATAGAAGGTTTGGATGTCTCCAGCGGGGGAACCAATTTGAAAACCTGATCCGCGTGCACAGTGACGGGCGTCACTTGTCAACCTAGGCCCTGCGTGGGATGCTTACTAACTGAATACACTGAGTACGACCCCCCCCCCCCTGCGTCCTGGAAAGGCAAAAATAATCCTCTCGAGAGTTGACCACCTCATTTCTTCTCATTTCCTCCCTTGGTCTTGATTCTCGGACATTCAATGACATCCGAAATCTGCTTCTATTCTGCTTCTATTCTTCTGCTTCTTCTATTCTAGCAATTATTGTAGTAATGTAATACGTTCACAAAAACGGAGCCAAATTCTTTTAATGAAAAGTGAGTAAGCCAGTCACCACACAATCCATGATGCCCACGATCCTCCCCGTTCCCACTATTGACATTCACTCGGAGGGATTATCAATCTCAGGCTACGGGATACTTTAATAATAAATGAGAATGACTACGTGCCACTGAGAGGTATGGGCTGAGGTGAGAGAAATAGAGATTAATACGATGATGACGACACGACGGCTGCTCCTTTCGCCAGTTCGAACTCTCTGTCTCTCACCACCTCATGCTCCACTGATCTGGCTCCGTCCCCCTTGTTCTACACTTTTTTATGCATCCACTGCCGGGTGTCGTAGAAAACGTAATTGAGGTCATCAATCACCTGTCGCCTGTGGCTCTTCCTCCTGTTCGTCATTCACCGGATCGATATCTTCGGCTTGGGTTATCCAATCGAGATATCCTGTAGAAAGTGGTATAATGTACTGTACACGTGAGAATACTGTAAATACCGTACCTTTGAGATCTTCCTCAAGTTGCTGTTTCTCGCGAAATTTTTGGAAAAGACCGCGAGCTCGGGCTTTTTCTCGTTCTTTTGAGAACTCTCCGGACAATACACCCAATACGAGGTTCAGTACGAAGAATGAGCCAAGAATTACCAGAGTAACAAAGTAAATCCATGGCCATTCGCGCCCGACAGCATCGTTCACCTTAACAAATCATCTTGTACTCTGAAGACCACTTGTACAAGGATCGAGGTAAATTTCATTATTTTTAATATTGTGCTCTCTCGCTGCTGGCTCGGGTACTGAAAATTATGGTCACTAGAAGTTTCGAGAGGGCATCAAAGACTTTCCGTTTATCTCTCGTGCTCAGTCAATCAGGGCACACTATTATCGTTGGGTATGGTCGCTGGACGGTGAGGAAGGCATCGTATTTGGGCCTTAAAAATTTTTCTTTGGTTGTTGGTCTTCTAGTTCCACGGACGCTATTAAAGGGAGCGGTCGTATTCGCTCGCTATTGGGAAGGGGGGAGGTCGCAGTGGGGTTTCTAACTTTCTAAGAAAAATTGTTAACTTTTCGCGTTTTTCCTGCTTGTTATACTATACACCTTCCTCCCTCAGCAAATTTCTGGGAAAAAAGTAGGTAGACTTTCGGGAATTTCCGGAAAAGTGGTAGGATGTTGGGAAACTCTAGTAAAGTGATGGGTAGGGTGGGAGGAAAGGGATCGTGTTTTCTCTCGCGGTTTTTCCTTCACATGTGCTGCCTTGTACTGCCTGCATTCAACTCCCCCCTCCCCCTTCCCCCGCTCGACTGTATCAGAGGGGAAGGGGAGGAAGGGGGGTCGTACCAAGCCACCTTTTAGAGGGGGGGTCTACGGTCTCAACCAAAATCCACAGCTAATGATGTGCCCTGCTTTTAAACTTACTCGTGCTTGGAGAATGCCCCAGAGCAAAAGAAAAAAAAACTGAGAACTAACTACAAGACTGCAGTTCAAAGGGAAAAGCTAAGGTGCAAATTGGGTGCAATGTTCGTGTTCAGAGGGTAGAACTACCCTCGGGACCGATTTCCGGACAAATCAATCGACCGGAACTGGGAACTGTAACGGTAAATAAAGGATAAAGGATAAAGTCTTCGCCGTTGATCAATCCCTTTGTGGGATGCGGCACGCATTCTACTTCCATTCAGAATCGTAGTGGCTTATTGAATGCGATGTGGCCTATACAATGACTTGCGGTGGCCAGCCGATGTACAAGTCAGTGTTTTATCCTCCCAGACGAATCTGGTACCAATTTACCGTCCCCGGAGGGTAGAAGGCTTGGTTGGCCTGGGCGGGAGTCGACCCGGGATTTGAACCCGGCGCCGCGCGAGTGGTAAGCGCGCCACTTGTCACTACACCACCTCCGCCTCAACTGTAGTAAACGGTGAATATTACCGGAATTTGTTTTTCTTAGGCGGATTCTAGGTATACGCTCGGTATCAATGGATTATGACATTTCCCATAGATGAAGCTTGTAAATAATACTGACCGGGATTACGGTAAAGGATATGTTACGGTAGCAATGAAAACTTACCCAGTACATCACGTCTGTCCAACCCTCTAATGAGACGCATTGAAAGACAGTGAGCATAGCCAAGCCAAAGTTGTCGAAATTAGTGATCCCGTTGTTAGGCCCTGTAACAAACTGTTCTCTATGAAAAAATTAAAGAAAAATCAAAGAAACGAATGGGAGTGAAAAAAGGCCTCGCAAGCGAAATAGCACTGCTAGGGATAGCACTCACCTGCCCAGGTGGTATTCGGGGAGCATACCCACTGAACACCCATACCAGTTAGTGCGTCAGAGGGTATACATTGAAACGCTGAACCATCCGTACCACAAGGTGTTGGATCTTTCTGTGCTAGTTGTCCCGTTGCTGGATCCACACTGTAAGGATCTGCTGCTTAGGAGGGTGAGCACAGATGAATAACTATACAAAATGAAAAACTCTATTAAAAATGGAATAGCCCGGTTCTGTCAGCCTTTTTTTATTATCAAAGTAAATAATGGTTCACAAATATTTCAATGGAGAAGAAGAATTGGAAACTAACCAGGTTGAGTGCAATTTGCCGCAGAAAAGCTCGAGTCCTATGATGGCGTAGATGAGAATGACAAAAAGGACTAACAAGGCAATGTGAAGCAACGGTATCATCGCTCGGAGGATGGCGTTCAGCACCACTTGCAAGCCTGAACATGGATAAGATTTTCTGGGCTAAAGTTAAGCTCTCGAAATCTAAACTTAAGTATTTCTGAGTGCACACCCTCTGAAAATTCCCTTGAGCCTATTATTCTACTAATTATCTAATTAATCATAGCACTTATCACTGAATCATGATGATCTTCATAATCAGGACACGTCCTGCCGCTGAGGAAAATTTTCGGAAAATATGACCCGCCCCTAATTCCCTCCTCTGATACGACCCCCCTCCCCGTCATCCTACCTACCACTTTCCAACATTTAAAAAAATAGTTTTAGGTGCTTGACTTTTCGTGGTTTTGCGTGTGCTACATTCTACAGATCGCAGACTTCTGGGAAAGAACTAGAAAATTTTCGGGGGATCCCGGAAGAACTGGAAGAAATGATGGGAAGTCGAGAGACGTGACGAATTTTTCTCAAAGGCAGATACGACTCCCCCCACCCCTCAACAACGAAAAGATACGACCCTATCCCTTGTAGCGCCCGTAAAACAAAAAGTCAAGTACCAGAAGTTTTTCCTCACAAAACCAAACAGGACAATTCCTCCATCGACCAACTACGACTCCCGCTGGGGGTTGCCAAACATACGAGTGGTCTATTTATAATAAAAAATAATATTATCAGCAAGTGAGCAAGCGAAAAGTGGTGCAGAATGGAATGCACCGGGCACTATTTACCCCTACTGCCCCAATCTCCCAAAAAAACAGGCCAGTTTTTGAAACGACTTTTTCTGCGTTGGCAGAATTGGCTGAAAATTTGTTCCCTGGGGTAGTTTGACCTCCTGAACATGAATATCACATCCGCTCGGCACGAAACCTCCTGGCGCCCGCGCCAGGCGCCGGCGCCAAAATACCCTAAATCACCAAATTCGCTGAAAACTTGTTCTCAGAGGGATCTGACCTCCTGACGAACATCACATCCGCCTGGTCCGAAACCTCTTGTCGCCCCACGCTACAGGCGCTGGCGCCAACATATCCGAATCACCGGCGCCTGTGGCGCAGGCGCCAGGAATTTTCAGGCTAAGCGAATTTGATATTCGCTCAAAGTGAGATTCATGAAAATGGCTCATTTCAACAGGCCCCCTATCTAGTGAGGCTAAACTGATGATTTCCGTCGAATTCAGGTCAACCCTTCATATATTATCCATTTCCGTTTCGCTTCAAAATGACTATTCGTCCCCTCGCAAGTTTGGGTGGGGTTGAAGACTCTCAAGGAAGTAACCAACTATGTAGTGACAAAATCATGATTAGGGCAGTGGGCGGAGAGAGCGCTTTCAACCAGTCCACAGCCCTCCTGCGCTACTTGTTTTTGGCCCAACAGCTTAATCTGACGAACACCGTTGTAGATGGTATGGATTCACAAGATCAGCATCCAGATAGATGTGCTGTCAATCCTCTGGGGTTGTGATGGAATAGGCTATATGTTATGAATGAAGGTGCTGGCTTTGAGAATTGGAAGCCATCAAGGTGCAGAATGCCCCTGCATAGCATTCACCAATACATTTCCGGAACCCATTTTTCCACAGTACTGACAGAAGTGATGTTGACAAGCGAATTGAATATTCAGTAGGTGATGTTCAGAGAAGGCATTCTTCATTCATTTTGGTCCAAAGAGTGAAGCTCCAAAAGAAGGTGTCTCATGGAACCGAGAGCTCAGATACATCCTAGCACACTTTGTAGTTAGGCTGAATCTCATCGAATGAATTCTGGGAACTTATGAAGGGACTGTTGAAAGATTATCACAAGAATGCCAAGTTAGATATGGGCAAAAGTCCAACCCCGGCAGGGGTCGATCCCGCCCCTCACACGTTCCGGGCGAGTGCGCTATCCGTTATGCCAAACCCCCCAAAAAAGGGGGTCGTACGGACTCAACCAAATCCCCAACTAATGATGTGACTAGGGGTAGATTTCTCCCTGTTTTCCTTAAATGATGTCTCTAAATCTCATAACTAAGGCTTCGTTCTCTCGTAGCTTTTCAAATTCACCCATTCTCCGTCTTCTCCTCATTTCTCATGGTGCACGTTCAGTGTAAGATCAGTGTAAGAGAATAATTGAAACGAGGATGTATGCAGGGGTCAAGACGGCGACGTGAGGTTATATAGTACTTTTCACCAATAGCTGGCTTCCCCACCTCCCAAACCAACCAACGGGGTAGACTCTGCACTGATTGAAGGTTTCGCAAGCCATGTTTTGTTTTATGAACCAAATGACATATTATTTCTGCCGTTCTGCCCCGCTACGTCATCTGTGTGTTAGTGCGAAAAAGAATAATGTCCAGCAATAGCAATGAAATCAAGTTGTAAGACCTTCGTCCGTCAACTCCAGAAGCCAGTCTTAAGGAAGGCGCAGCTTCGGCGACGGGAGGGGGGGGGCATTTTGTACTTTCACTGCTTCCCTAGTTCCGGTTTACAAGTCTCACTCTGGTGAAACCTGTGAACTCTTGTGAAGCTGGAGCAAGGTCGTCAAGCCATCATGGTAAAACCTGTCAACTCGAGAAGAGGCTGTCTAGATAGGTCGACATGTTTGGGAAGTAGCAAAAGTGCAAAATGCTTCGCCCCCCCCCCTCCCCCAACAGCGCCTTTGAGGATTTGTGAGAAGAAAAATTTAGAAAAATGAGAAAAAAAAACAAAACATTCTTGAAAAAAACATTCTTGAATAAAACCTTAAAGAAACATACTCGGCACTCCAGACACTAATCGAAGCGGCCGTAGCACTCGAAATGCTCGCAGGGCTTTCACGTCGAATCCTTGGATGTTCATACGAGAAAGTATCGTACTCACTAACCTGTAATAGACTTGTGAGTATCTGAAAGAAGAGAAGGAAAATAAAAATGAGGGCTCCATGGGGGAAGAAAGCTGTGTCGGTCTTTTTAAACGAGGTGGTCATTCCGAAAACTCTCTGAAGCTGTATGCATTTCATGAGATATACAAATGGGTTGGATAGTTTTTCAGGAATTCAGAGAGACATAATATTGCCGAACACCTTAGTCCTTAATGGTAAAACGCGCGATCATTCCCTATCACATATAGTGGATTAGGGGTTCGCATATAGACGACAAGTTGCTGAGTAACTCGATAGTGAAGAAAAAGCAGAAAAAAACATGCCAACTGCCCTAAATAGAACCCCATTCCGATCCAGTTTGTACGTGCCCAATTAACCCCATCTCCAACACTACGCCCTCATCCGCACAGCTGATTCCCCGATAAGAACTCTACGATCGTACAAGTGACGATTTTCATGCTTTTTCGTCCTGCAGCTTCGTTTTTCACTGAAAGGTGGGCCTTGAAGGCGGAGTCTGGAGGCGGAGTCACTGGAAAAAAGGAGGCGTCACTGAACCTATATTGCGCTATAGCGCCCTTCCTTAGGCTGCGTTTATACTTTGCGGCAGCGTAGCGTAGCGCTTCCAGCGTACGCCAGCGGCAGTGCCGAAGAGAGGATGCATATCGATCTAGCTTCACCAGCGTCACCAGCGGCACGCTGGCGTACGCTAGCGGCACGCTAGCGTACGCCAGCGTTTCTCCAGCGTTTCACCAGCGTTTTGCTAGCGCTTGCAGCGGCAGGGGAGTAGAGACTATGGGAGAGCTGGAGGGTACAAAACACATCGATTGCGCGTCTCTCACTCGCCCTTAGTCTCTACAATGCACATCGCTTCTGCGTCTCCGACGGCCACATAGTCTCTACAATGCACATCGCTTCTGCGTCTCCGACGGCCACATAGTCTCTACAATGCACATCGCTTCTGCGTCTCCGACGGCCACATGGTCTCTACAATACACGTCGATTCCGCGTCTCTCACGGCCACATAGTCTCTACTCCCTGCCGCTGCAAGCGCTAGCAAAACGCTGGTGCCGCTGGAGAAACGCTCGAGAAACGCTGGTGAAGCTAGATCGATATGCATCCTCTCTTCGGCACTGCCGCTGGCGTACGCTGGAAGCGCTACGCTGCCGCAAAGTATAAACGCAGCCTTACAGTTTTTTTTTGCCGCAAAACCGGTACAAGGTTGTATGTCACAGACCACAGTACCTCCAACGCCATATTTTCAACTACTATACCTGATCGATGACCGCGCCTTCAAACGATTACAGGATGCATATCTATCTTATTTATTTCTACCAACCCCCCTACTCAAACCTGCACTTGCATAAAGTCCCAGGGCAAAGAAAATACAACGGCAGGTGGAGTCTACTAAAAAATATTCGTTAAATAAAGAAAATCATCGCTTACCCAATGACGACGATGATAAAATCGAGGATGTTCCATGCGTTTCGAAGATAGGCGCCGGGATGACAGATGAAACCCAGCGCCACCACTTTTAAAATGCATTCGATGGTGAACACAACAATAAACAAATATTCGATTTGCTCCTGAAAAACAATGATTTCGCTCAGATTAATCATTAAAAAACGTAGCGAACTCGTAGGCGGACCCGAGACAGAAATGGCTTTCATGCTGTAACCACCATATACGGTAGTGGCCTACCATATCGGAATGCGCCGCGTACTGGCTTGAAGTCAGAACAGAATAGAAGTTTGAATGGATGCTTGGTCTATGCAACAAATGCGCTCTAGCCAAGTTAACGTTACTCCTGCTTCCGCACGACTAAGCCCTGTTAGGCGACCAGGACACATTATCGTTGGGAATTCTCCATCAGGGGGTCGTATATGGTCGCTGGTAGGAAAGGGGTCGCATTTAGTCCAAGGAACTTTTTGATAGTTGATTCACCTTGTTTCACGGATTGAGAGAGATGTGGGGGAGGGGGTCGCATTCGCCTCCTGAGAGAAGCTTGTGGCGTTAAAATTTCCTCGGTTGTTGACTTTTTTGGAGAAGAAGGTGTATTTTGCTCACGGTTTTTCCCGTTTGAAATGTGCTGTATACTCCCTACACACCCCGCCCGACAGCTCGACCCGACAGCTCGAGTGCATCAGAGGAGGGAAGAAAGGAGGAAGGGGTCATTCA